ATTTTTTGGTTGCAGCCATCATTGTTGTTTGGCGGGCCCCGGCTGGCTTTGAACCCGCTACCTTAGGTGTATGTGGCTGGCGCTTTAGCCGCTTGAGCCACAGGCGCTGAGCCAACTCTTCTCCTTTTACTGTATCATTCCAATCACCATACAAACTGATTTAGTATCTTCTATCTTATAAATAAATACATCGATAAATAAGTAAACTAATAATTTCCTTCCATTATCTCATTCTAGCTATTGTCCCATTTTTCTACTCCTCTTAATAAAACTCTTCCAAAAAGTTGTCTAGACCAGTGATATCCAATAGAAATATGTGAGCCACAAATGTAACAGGAAATTTTCCAGTAATCACATTTCAAAAAGTAAATAGAAAAAAGTGAAGTAAATGAATATTTTTATTTAACCCAATAAAATAAAAAATGTTATTTCAACATGTAATCAATACAAAAATGTTATCATTTCAACATGTAATCAATACAAAACTTTATTAATGAGATACCTTATGTTATTTTTTGTACTGAGTCTTCCAGATCTGGATTATTTTATTTTATTTTTTGAGACAGAGTCTCACTTTCTCACCCTGGGTAGAGTGCCATAGCAGCATAGCTCACAGCAAGCTCAGACTCTTGGGCTTGAACAATCCTTGTGTCTCAGTCTCTGGAATAGCTGGTACTACAGGCACCCGTGTTTTCATCACAGCCACCCTATGAAGTAGCTCTTGTCAAGAGTATTGGTAATATCCATGTTACCAAATCCAATGGTCAGTTCTCAGTCTTCATCCAATACATCTCTCCAACTTAAAATATCCAGAAATCAATTCTTGATTCCCAACACACTGTATCCTGCCTTTACATCTCAGGAAATAGCTAGACTATTTACTGCCCAGACAAAAATCTTTATAGTTATCCTTTTTTTTTTTTTTTTTTTTTGAGACAGAGCCTCAAACTGTCACCCTGAGTAGAGTGCTATGGCGTCACAGCTCACAGTAACCTCAAACTCCTGGGCTTAAGCAATTCTCTTCCCTCAGCCTCCCAAATAGCTGTGACTACAGGCACCTACGGGTACTACAACGCCCGGCTATTTTTTGGTTGTAGTTGTCATTGTTGTTTGGCAGGCCCTGCTGGAATCAACCCTGCCAGCTCTGGTGTACATGGCTGGTGCCCTAGCCAATTGATCTACAGGCACCAAGCTTAAAATCATCCTTGATCTCTTTCTTCCTCTCATACTCTAAAACCAATCCCTGATCAAATTATTTTCTATCTTCTATCCATACCTAGCATTTTGCTGTTTGAATGCCATCACCATGGTCAAGGCTGCTGCCACCTGCTTCCCTGCTTTCACCCTTACTCCCTTGCTATTTTCCTTTTAAAGCATAAATCAAATCATATGACAAACATTCCAGTGGCTCTCCTTCAGATGAAAGAATTCAAAGTTCTGTTCATGATTTTCAAGAGCCAACATAATTTGGTCTCCAGCTACTTCATAGCACTCCTTTCCCTCCAAGGACATTGGCTCATTGCTACTCGTGGAAACATCAAACATGTAACTTTCTTATTGCTATTCCTTCTACTTTTAAAGCTCTTCCCCAGGCCTCCACAATACCTACTCCCCACTTTCACTGAAGTTTGCTTTACTTAAATGTCACTTCTTCAGAGAGGCTTAATCAAGGATGCTTGATCTCCCTATTTAATACAACGCTCCATACTATGTAATTATACTCAAGCCCAGTGATTTTCAACGCATGTGCTGTGACTGGATCTTAGGTGTGTGGCCAGAAGTTTTAAAGGTAATTAATTAAATTATTTTTGAAAAAAGTTTGAAGCATAGTAAGTATATTCTTTCTTCACTCTTTTTATTCATCAACATAATTTAAGTGGGTAGAGGAAGTTTAACTATAGGATGAAGGATGCTGTGACATAAAAAAGGTTGAAAAATACTGCTCTAGGGCCCCCAAACTGCTTCATCCCTGAGGCCCACTTGACCCTAATTATCACCTGAAGTCGGTCCCTAATCCTAGTCCTCACCCTAATGACCTGAACTATCATCATCTCCCAAGCCCATGTGAAGGTAATTATCACCCAAAGCCAGGTCCTAAGCCCACCCCTCATCCTTGAGGCCTGCCTAATCCTAATTATCACTGGAAGCCAGTCCCTAAACTGAGCCATCACCTAAGGACCTGGCACCCTCTTCCTACACTCTTTATTGCCAAGACCCAACTGACCATAATTATCTCCCAAAGCTGGGAGCCAATCCTAGCCCTCACCCTGGGGCTCCAAACCCTGTTTATTCCACAGGTCTGCCTGACCCCAATTATAACCTTAAGCTGGGTTCTCACCCTAGCACTCACCTTACGGTCCTATCTCTCTTCAATCTCAAGCCTGCCTGATCCTAATTATCACCACAAGCCAGGCCCTAACCCTAGCCCTTACCTATGGGCTTGGATCCCTCTTCACTATCTCCCGAAGCCAGGAGCCAACCTTAAACCTCACCCTAGGGCCTCAAACCCTATTCATCCCACAGGTCTGCCTGATCCCACCAAGGTGAAGCTGGGCCCTCACCCTAGACCTCACCTTAGGGCCCCATCTCTCTTCAATCCTGAGGCCTGCCTGACCCTAATTAGCACCCAAAGCCTGGTCTTAATCCTAGCCCTCACTCTAGGGTCCCAAACCTTTTTCAACACACAAGTCAGTCTGACCATAATTATCACCAGAAGCCAGGCCCTAACTCTAGCCCTCACCTAAGGGCCTGAACCCTCTTCATCCCTAAGGCTCACTCTACCCTAACTGTCGCCTGAAGCTGGGTCCTAACCCTAGCTCTCACCTGAGGGCTCCAAACCCTTCTCATCCCCCAGACTCTATAATCATCCAGAGTTGGGCCCTAAGCCTAGCCCTCACCCTGTAACCAGCTTTATAAGCAAAATTTTACAATTTTCAAGTGCCTTAGCTCACTAATATTACAAAGGAGTTTCTAGTGTTCACATCAGAACTGAAGCAGGCAGCTAAGTGGCCCTGACTGGACAGGGATGAAATAGTGAGTGGTATCTCATCTCCAGTGGCCTCACAATGCCAGTCTTAGAAAAAGTAGAGAAGAGACAGAGAGTTCTCAGTACAAACTGCTGAACAGACCTTTGTAACTTTCTGTACACTTAGGCAATTCTTTTGAGTTTTTCCCAGGAACAGCAGAATCTCCTTATACCCCCGAGATAACCACAGCACCTTACTCTACCAGGACTCCAGAGAAAGACAAGATAAGCGATACGCCACTGCAGATTGTGCTTGAGAGCCACTGAGCCTGTGCACATGGCTGAAAATATGAACAAAATTAATCCTTAGCTCATAATACTAAAATCCCCACCCTGGGGAGAGATTTGTCTACCATTTTTTGTTCATGAGATGTATGAACTAAGGTGATTCCTCACTGTGCTTGGGTTCCCTGCTCTCCAGCCCAAACATGCAATGAGGTTCCCTCCCTTTATGCATTATTCATTTTCACCTACATAAAACCCCCTTGACCCTACTAACTGGGGAGGTGGATTTGAGGTAGCCTGTGCTTCCCCCTCCCAGTTGACACCACATCCTTTGAAATAAATCCTTTCTCCCTTGACAATCCTTGTTGTCTCAGTAATTGGCTTTCTGTGTGGCAACCAACAGTGAACTCCCCTTTGTGGGACTGTTAACCCTATGGCAGTGTTTTTCAACTGTGTGCCCTGACAGGATCTTATGTGTGCTATGATGATTTTTAAAGATCATTCATTAACTTATTTTCAAAAGAAGTTCAAAGCACAGTAAATATATTATTTTTTCACTATTTTTTTAATCAACATAATTTAAGTGTGTCGGGGAAGTTTAAATAGGTTAAAATGTGCCTTAAGATTAAAAAATGGTTGAAAAACATTTCTCTAGCCCTTATTTCACTTGCACTCACCTCCAACTCAATCAATCATGCTCCATCTAAAGAGGAGAGTTCCAATTCATCACACATTTAAGCATAACACTGAGTAAAAAAGGTATCATATGTTTCGTAAAAGCACTGTATGAACAAAATGTGGAGAGAGAAAAACGGAAAGGATGCTCACTGGATTATTTGTGACTCTCTGGTCCCAATGTCCTGAAAAATGAGGTGAAATTTATGAAAACATCCACTTACCTGAGACATGGTTTTACAAAGTCCAACAGCCATTCTTCCTTTCCTTTTTTAGTTTTCTCTTTTGGAGAAGAACCAAGTCCCAATAAGGAAGAGTTAAGAGAAAAAGAAAGACATCTCAGCTCTATGTTGTTTCAAGATTCACAAAGATAGAACCATTGTCTCTTTGGGTTTCCACCTCCTCACATGAGCCAGCCTCACATTTCCCAAGATCTGAGATAAAAGTCAGTGTTGAACTTAACCCTGGAAGCCTCGAATTATATTACAGACACACAGCCTAAACTCAAAATCTACCATCCATCCCATGGCCACGGCAATTTATGATCTGGCCTCTGGCTGCCATTTTGACCTCATTTTCTATGATCCTCTCCCTTGTTCCCCCCACTCCAGGCACACAGGTCTCCTTTCTACTCCTCAAACACTGTACAGGCTCCTCCTTGAGGACTGTTGCCTTTGCTTTTCCTCCTATCTGCACGCCTCTTCTCCCAGGTGTCAGTACGTCAGAGGAACTTCCCTGAAAATTCTACCTAAAGAGAACTCCTTTTCTAGTCATTCCCTTTTTCCTTATCCTAATTTATCTTTCTTTTTAAGGTTCTTTGCCTAAGTCTCTATGCCTTGGGTGAGACCAAGTTTAAAACCTCAATGGGTAAGGGAGAGACTTCACTTTCAGGAGAAAGTGGATTAAGACTCTGGCCTATTGCAAAAAGAGGGTCACATGTGGAGCCAAGCCAAAGCTAAGTAGAAAAACTACCTTCAGCCAACACTTCTCCTTTCCTCATAAACTAAAAGATGGTACAAAGTCTTCCTTCCCATGAGAGGAAGCAGCAGAGATTATCCACACACCATCCATTGCATATAGACCGGGATTTCCCAGTAGTTTGGAAGCAAGATGCTTGTTGACATCCTAGGATCCTGGGAGCCAACAAGCAAGAGCAACTAAGAGCTTCTAAGCCCAGCACTTAACAACTTTGAAATGTTTCTTTACTTTTATTTTTTATTTTTATTATTATTTTTATTGATTGGGATTCATTGAGAGTACAAAGAATTAGGTTACACTGATTGCATTTGTTAAATAAAGTCCCTCTTATAATTGTGTCCCACCCCCAAGAGGTGTCCTGTACATTGTGACCCCCCGTCCTCCTCCCTCCTCCCCTTTTCCTACCTGCTCATTCTCCTACCACCAGCCCCTTGTATTAGTTCATCTACTGTCCTCATATTAGAATAGAGTATATTGGGTTCTTGCTTCTCCATTCTTGTGATGAATTTATCTTTTTTCTTAGCATTTATCATCTTTGGACATGTTATATGTTTGTTTATTATTTGTCTTCCCACACAAGACTGTAAAATCGGCTCCGTGCCTGTGACTCAAGCGGCTAAGGCCTCAGCCACATACACCTGAGCTGGTAGGTTCTAATCCAGCCCAGGCCCACCAAACAACAATGATGGCTGCAACCAAAAAATAGCCAGGCATTGTGGCGGGCGCCTGTAGTCCCAGCTACTTGGGAGGCGGAGGCAGGAGACTCGC